TTTTAAGATAATAGCCACGGGTTGTCTTGTTGACTATGTTGTTATAACATTGACCGTATAATCTATTCCTCTTTTTTTTATTTACATTTATGTGTTTTCTGTAATTGTTTGCTGTTATCACATTTGTATGCTTGGCGGGGGAGGAGAGGGATACTTGCACACACCCGTCTTGATGGAGGTGTGCGAAGCTTTCTCGTTCTTGAAATATCCCTATCGTGGTGTTGTAGTCGAGGTTCATGGTTAGGTTAATCGAAGGATGCAGAGTGCTATTGAAGACAATCTTATCATCATATATTATATATTTTGAAGTCAAGGAATATACAGTACTATGTTTCCGACAAATATAATGAAGTTCACCCGCAGATGAAGTCTCAGAATGCATGATTAGACTATACACATGTTGAATTTGTTGAAAGATCCTGTTGTATGAGGATTCCTAAATGCAAATCTGACGTGTTTTGAGGATAATGCAAGGGTTTCCTAAAGGTAAACCATTTTAAATTTGTAGATTATCTGTGCACACAAAAACGCACATCATATTATATTAGGAAAAAGATCAACATAATACGCTCGTGTGTGATAATAATAAGCAGTATTAAACAGAGATATTGGAAAATAAGAAACTGGCAACGTAAGTGCTAACCTCTCCACGTAGCGTCTGGCTCCCTGAGGTTTGAGATGAGGAAAAGGTTATAAATATCTTTTGTCCTCTGGTGCCCTCAGCTTCCAGGTTATGAACAGGTAACCTCACGTACTTAGTTCAGTTACGTCGAGTGCACAACAACTTTGGTTATGGTCAATACTCTCAGGTGTGCATACGATACTGCAAGATAGTCTTCTCCTCTTAAACTTAGTCTAGTCTTTATATTGTATATAAACATGTACTGTGTGTATTGAGATGCCATTATGAATTATTGGGTAAGAGTCAAGGCTAAAAGTTTGTGTATCGTTATGAAATATTGGGTAAAGGTTAAGTTTAAAATGTTAAGTCCTGTGATTTATTATGAAATATTAAAATTGATCTTGAAATTGAAATGTTTATTTAGCAGAAACGGCAATACATTTTTTTTTTAGTTTATACATAAGGCAAATAGTGGTTCAGCCCTTTAAGGGTAAACTCACCTAAAAGCCTTCACTCTTAACATGCTCCTTGCTCACAACTAACGCCACTAAGCTGTTAAGGCTTTCTTATACATTATCCAGTCTGTTGTCAAATAGATATACAAACAGAAATGTATATGTTACGTTTTTTTTTTTTTTTGCAACATCGATTATTTTGCAAAATTCCCGACATGCATATTGGTAAGTTTGCGAAATAACTTACAAACAGACAACCTAAACTAACCTAACCTTATGATTAGGGTAAGTGAGAGGTTAGGTCAGGTTAGGTTACGTCAGGTTAGGTTACGTCAGGTTAGGTTAGGTTACGTTAGGTTAGGTTAGGTTAGGTTAGGTTAGGTTAGGATGGCTCGTGTAGATTGATACACAGTTAAGTGGTCCTGTTCTTTTCATTTATTAACTTTGGCTAACCTGTTTGTCAGTTATTTTGCAAAATTATCAATATTCATGCCGGGAATTTTCCAAAATTACCGATTTCGCAAAAAAAAGTAACGTATACATATATGTGAAAGCGGGTCTCATAGACATGACTGTCCGTTATGGACAGTGTAGATACAGCACTGCCTCCGGTACATAAGGAGACAGCATAGCCGGTACTGCACTCGACTGCATTCACTTCTCCAAGTTGTAAACTTAGGTATCCATTTACGCCTAGGTGATCTGGAGGCGTCCTATAATCGAATCACCGATTCCCGGAACAGAGGCGAGTGCTGTATCCACTCAACCGCCGCACTCCCATACAATCATATGTAAATTCATATACCACGTGGAAAAAGAAAATCACAAATTTGCTGAGGCGCTTTCGTGTGTTTAACACATTTTCAGAAGCAAATTATGCACAAACACAAAGTCACCAAGGCTACAGTACATGCTGTTGTTGTGTGGCAGAGACAACATGTAGCTCAGTATACAGGGTACTATCATCAGTATACAGGGTACTATCATCAGTATACAGGGTACTATCATCAGTATACAGGGTATTATCATCAGTATACAGGGCACTATCATCAGTATACAGGGTACTATCATCAGTATGCAGGGCACTATCATCAGTATACAGGGTACTATCATCAGTATACAGGATACTATGATCAGTATACAGGGCACTATCATCAGTATACAGGTTACTATCATCAGTATTCAGGGTACTATCATCAGTATACAGGTGCCATCATCAGTATACAGGGTACTATCATCAGTATGCAGGGCACTATCATCAGTATACGGGTAATATCATCAGTATACGGGTACTATCATCAGTATACAGGGTACTATCATCAGTATACAGGGTACTATCATCAGTATACAGGGTCCTATCATCAGTATACAGCAGGGTTCTCAACCGGGGAAATTTCCCCCCTCAGGTTTTCAGGGGGGGGAAAACTGATACTAATATGGAAAAAATAAAGGATTTTCAGTATTATATGCATATTATTTGGAATGCACTTTTTGAGGCAGACAATCTTGGAAAGGAGGAGGGGAATGACATTCTGACATATGGTGAAAGGGGTGCATGGGGCAAACAAGGTTGAGAACCACTGGTATGCAATTTTATCACATCAGTATACAGGGCACTATCATCGATATACAGGGCACTATCATCAGTATACAGGGAGTACTATCATCAGTATACAGGGTACTATCATCAGTATACGAAATTATTATCATCAGTATACAGGGCACTATCATCAGTATTCAGGGCATATCATCAGTATACAAGGTACTATCATCGATATAGAGGTACTATGATCAGTATACATAATACTATGATCAGTAAACAGGGTACTGTCATCAGTATAAGGGCACTATCATCAATCGGGGCACTATCATCAGTATACAAGGTACTATCATCAGTATAGAGGTACTATCATCGTATACATAATACTATGATCAGTAAACGGGGTGCTATCATAAACCTGAGGGCACTATCATCAGTATGCAAGGGTACTATCATCAGTATACAGGGCACTATCATCAGTATACAGGGCACTATCATCAGCAGGGTACTATCATCAGTATACAGGGCACTATCATCAGTATACAGGGCACTATCATCAGTACACAGGGTACTATCATCAGTATACAGGGCACTATCATCAGTATACAAGGCACTATCATCAGTATACAGGGTACTATCATCAGTATACAGGATACTATCATCAGTATACAGGGTACTATCATCAGTATACAGGGTGCTATCATCAGTATACAGGGTGCTATCATCAGTATACAGGATACTATCATCAGTATACTGGGTACTATCATCAGTATACAGGGGACTATCGTCAGTATACAGGGTGCTATCATCAGTATACAGGGTACTATCATCAGTATACAGGTATACTATCATCAGTATACAGGGCACTATCATCAGTATACAGGGTACTATCATCAGTACACAGGGTACTATCATCAGTACACAGGATACTATCATCAGTATACAGGGTACTATCATCAGTATACAGGGTACTATCGTCAGTATACAGGGTACTATCGTCAGTATACAGGGTGCTATCATCAGTATACAGGGTACTATCATCAGTATACAGGATACTATCATCAGTATACAGGGCACTATCATCAGTATACAGGGTACTATCATCAGTACACAGGATACTATCATCAGTATACAGGGTACTATCATCAGTATACAGGGTACTATCATCAGTACACAGGATACTATCATCAGTATACAGGGCACTATCATCAGTACACAGGATACTATCATCAGTATACAGGGTACTATCATCAGTATACAGGGTACTATCATCAGTATACAGGGTACTATCATCAGTATACAGGATACTATCATCAGTATACAGGGCACTATCATCAGTATACAGGATACTATCATCAGTATACAGGGTTCTATCCTCAGTATACAGGATGCTATCATCAGTATACAGGGTACTATCATCAGTATACAGGATACTATCATCAGTATACAGGGCACTATCATCAGTATACAGGATACTATCATCAGTATACAGGGTACTATCATCAGTATACAGGATACTATCATCAGTATACAGGGTACTATCATCAGTATACAGGGTACTATCATCAGTATACAGGATACTATCATCAGTATATGTGATATCATCATCAGTATACAGGTACTATCATCAGTATACAGGGTAGTATCATCAGTATACAGGGTACTATCATCAGTATACAGGGTGCTATCATCAGTATACAGGGTACTATCATCAGTATACAGGATACTATCATCAGTATACAGGGCACTATCATCAGTATACAGGGTACTATCATCAGTACACAGGGTACTATCATCAGTATACAGGGCACTATCATCAGTATACAGGGCACTATCATCAGTACACTGGGTACTATCATCAGTATACAGGGCACTATCATCAGTACACAGGTTACTATCATCAGTATACAGGGCACTATCATCAGTATACAGGGTACTATCATCAGTATGCAGGATACTATCATCAGTATACAGGATACTATCATCAGTATACAGGGCACTATCGTCAGTATACAGGGCACTATCATCAGTATACAGGGTACTATCATCAGTATACAGGGTACTATCATCAGTATACAGGGTGCTATCATCAGCAAACATAATTATCCTAGTTAGTTTATTACTGTTTACAACGTTATTTATGTAACTACAATAGGAAGATAATTGGTCCTAAAATGCATCCTTGTGGCACTCCTTAATTATGAATTTAATTGGGTCTCAGAAATACAGTCGTTATATTGAACAAATTGCTTGCTGATATTGAGATAGGACTTAAGCCAGGTATTTGTGGTGCTAATGATCTCGTTTTGCTAAAATAAAATTATGATTTATTGTGTCAAAAGCTTTAGAGAGATATGAAAATAAGATTATTATTCCGTTTGTCATCAAAGAATTTTAAGATGTCATTTGTGAAACACAGAAGCTCATATTCGGTAGGTTTACGCTTTAGAAGACCAAATTGGGAGTCTGTTAGGATATCGTCAATCTGGCAAACCTCCCTAAGTCTACCGTACAGTAGAAAACTTGTTCTAGTATTTCACTTAAGGCGTTCATTTCTGACACAGGTCCCATTATTCTTAAACTCTCTCTATCCCCTGACTTATATATATGGGAACGACTTTAGAAATCTTAAGTTGGTATGGGAATTACCATTTGAGAAGGACGAATTACAAAGATAAAAAAACACAGGTCAGAGAGCATGAGCCATCTCCCTTATGATGCTCAGGTCACTATCATCCTGACCCGGAGGTGAGTGCCGTCGCTGGTTGATCGCCTCCTTCAACTCATCTATGTATCGAACGGCCTAGTATTTTCTGTGTAGTTCATAAAATAGGTAGTTCTTATGTATTAATTATTCTATCTATTAAGAACTGTGTTTATAACTTCCCAGGTTCTCTAACTATTGTGTGATGTTTCTTGAAATTGGGTATCGTAGTAATGTATATAATCAGTCATGCTTCATAAGTTTATCAGCGATATACACCATTATCCGCCTACTGTGAGGGTGATCCCGATCTTGGAGTAGGCGAGGTTGAGGAGATTGACCTCGTCCTCTAAGGAGAGCGGGGGCATCCTCTGGGCTAAGGTCTTCGTGAAATACGAATTCCTGAAAGGGTGTAGAGTAGCGTACTTCACGTCCTCCTGTGTCACCTTGTATATGTCTGCCGGGTCTGTCGTCAGGCTGCAGGGGAGGGATTGTGGTGTTAACGATGATTATATATACGTATATAAATTTATATATATATATATATATATATATATATATATATATATATATATATATATATATATATATATATATATATATATATATATATATATATATATATATATATATATATATATATATATATCTTGGTGGGCATTTGCCTAGATTAAGAGCAAATGTTGGTAGTGTTCAGATGAAAAACTTGGGGTAAATTGCCCAAATATAAATTTAGAGGGATATTGTTTTGAGGAATATACGAGTAAGTGCGTGGATTTACAGCAAATCTCTCCCACCTACAGACATGTTAAAGAAATATCTTATAGTTTACAAGTAATATAGTTTACGAGTAGTTACTTCAATAAACATAATTGTACATGGGCCAAACGTCCTCTGCATGACTCACCAGAAGGGGGAGAAGGGACACATGATGATGTAGAGCTGGTTGCCGTAGAAGGACCCGGTATACATCATCTGCAGGTGCTCGTGTGAGTTCCGTTCGTTGAAGCCAACACACTGTGGGAGGTGTGATAGTTTAGCTGGGTGATGTATGGTCTCTCCCTCTCTGTCTTTTAGGTTAATACAGTATGAAAGGACATGAGGGCGAGAGGATGATGGACGATGGGTAGGGTAGGGGAGGAGTTAGGTACAGTTGTTCCCCGTAAGGGGTAAATTACCTCCACGGGCCTATGGACGTAATTTGGCATTATTCGGGGCAACAACATTCCGTCAGATAGGACCGATAGATGCATTTTTGGTAATTTTTTCTTGCTTCGTGTTTCCATATCATCATGTGCTGTACTGTGCTCAACAGATGAATTTCTCGGGGGAAAGCTTTTGGTAGAGAAGAGACACAATTTGGCAAGGAAATTCAGAGACTCAGTTTGAATTGCTCTTCTTTGGTGTTTGGCGAACATGCCTTTTCATCTAAATGCTTTGAACACATCGATGTAGGGAAAGGAGAACATGTAGTCTGTCTGAGTGAAAAGATACAAGCATTCCAATCCAAGGTGGACTTGTGGGAGACGGGTAGAATAGCTGCATTTCCCATGTTGGGAGGAATATTTGGAAGACACTCTTTCTGTGAGCTTGAGTGATGTGCAAATTACAATTGCTTCACACTTAAAGAGTGTGCGTCTGGGGTCGGAGGAGTATTTCTCCGACGATGATCCAGGTGCAGAATTCATTCAAATGTTCCACTGAGAATATGCCAGAAAAAAAACAAATTAATTTGCAGAGTAAATCCTTAAAATGAAATCAAGCCAACTGATCTAGATGGAATTTAACGCAAATAATTCGTCCTCCTTCTAGAGAACCCATAGCAAGGAATTTCTTTTGTCTACTTCAAGCGCAACAAAAATTCTCCTACCATTTGGGTCAGCATATTGTGTAAGGCAGGATTTTTGGCCCCCTGAACATCTGCAGCAAAGATAGAAAGACACTGACCGTGAAAGTGATATCAGATGTGTCCTGACAAAGTTATCACCACGGGTTCAAGAAATGGTCACCAACCAAATGTGACATTTTGCTCATTAATGAAATTCATTTCCTTTCAGTTCAATGACTGTTGTATTACATGTTCAGTATTTTAATTACTGTATAATACACAATTAGCTATAAAGGAGTGGCAAAAGTTAAATAGCGAGTTTTATTTGCTATCATGCTTAGCATGGCAATGAAGACAATGGCCTCGAAAAAGAAAGTCTATGTGGTGTAATGATTATTGTTGTCGGGTCTGTTTTAGGGTATTGCCAAAAATTAATTGGGACCCCCCGAGTTAGGTGTAGTGTGAGAATAGCAGATCGCATTAAATGGGAGAGGGAATGGGATAATGATAAGGGGTCTGACACGAAGGCAGAATAGCACATAGTAAGGATGGTTGACTTAGGTATTGGGGGACAATGATAAAAGGATTAGAAGGATAGTGAATGGGGGATTGACAGGATGACAATCCCCCTATATGTAAAGTGAAAGACTGAGGAGATGATAAAGTGGAGGACGAGAGGATGGAGGAGCAGCTCACCCGGGCGACGACGTAGTAGGACCAGACAGTCTCCGCGGACATCGCCGGCCGGTGGATGTAGATCACGAAGCTTTGGTTTACCTGAGAGAACAGTGCCAGACAGTGATTAATGAGGCGGGCAAGTGATTAATCAGGTGGTTGGTCATTACCTGCTGGGAGGGGTGTGGTCACGACTTGGCACTAACATACAGTATAATCTGAACTGTTTGGTACATTGTTGATGCTGTGGCTTGTGATTGGACCCCTGTTCTGGTGGTCATCGTGACTAGGATTATGGTTGGCAAACTTTCCATGATTTTCATTTTGTATTATGAAAAATTCACTACTAATATTCAAATAAATAAACAGTAGAGTACTTTGTAATTTTGCTTCTTTGTAGAAAACGTAGAGATAATTATTATTATTATTGACTAGGAGCAATAGTTGACACGGCATTGGGCTGGTCAAAATCAATCGGGAGGGGGGGGTGGAGGACAGGCAACTTGGGCGATAGCTTGCACAAATATTGCTACCAATCTTGTTATCCTGGCTCACTAGAAGAAGGGCTTTTCAAAAGCCGATTCCCGCAGACCTGCTGGTGTGGATAGACTACAGGAATTACGGAGAATGAATATTTCATCATGAAATAAAGTGACGAATTCAACTTTGTTTTTATCCGAAAATTCAGCCAAGGGCGTTCTGGATTATTCCCGCACCCAAAATATATATTTACTTCGTTATTCATAACATCCGCCATTATCTTAATGATCTATCTGTCTTTTTAGCGCCATTTTGATCCTAAAGGGATTAGATTACTTGTTAATAGCTTAGCATATGCTATCTGCAATATAATATTCCCGATTTGTGTATTATACAGTAGTAGGTAGAGGCAGCTATCAAACAGGGAGGTACTACCGCCTGGGAAGATATTGGAAGCATAATGTGTTGTCTAATGGTAGACCCTGCTGCTATATGGCATCACGAAAATTGTAACCAAGTCCCAGGTTGCTGATCTGACTTTTGTCTCAATTGTATCTCTTTCTTTGACAACACAACATACTGTACATATATCGTTTCTCACTATTGATATTTTTTTTCATTTTTTATAACTTTATGGTTCTTTATTATTATTATTGTTATTATTATTTATTTTTAATTTTTTTATTTATTATAAATTTTAAATACTTTGAGCTAATTATTATTATTATTTAAATTATTATTACGTTTTCGCGCCCCCAGGCCTCGATGCGAGTCAGTGACCTGTGCTCGGGTGGGCTAATCCCCGTAAAAAAGAAAAAAAGAAAAAAAAAGGACGAGAATACATTGTGTATTATAGATAACTTAAGAACATAAGAATGAAGGAACTGCAGCGGGCGTATTGGCCCTTACATGGCAGTCTCGTTTACACTCAACACCTATCGCTCATATATCCGTCTAACCTATATTTGAAGTTACCCAGCGTGTTGGAGTTATTGATGATGTTTGGTAACTTTTTCCACTCATCCACTACTCTATATCCAAAATAGTGTTTACCTATCTCGCGCCTAAATCTAAATTACTAAATTGCTACGAGCTCGTTCCTGGTTGGATAGTTTAAATACCTATTTTATATTACTTTTGTTTAACCCTGACTTTCATTTATACACGTTGATCATATCGCCCCTCATTCTACGTCTCTCGAGGGAGTGCAAATTGAGATGCTCTATTCAATCTTGTTACTCAAGGTTCCTAATGCTCGGGATTAGTCTTGTCATCTTCCTCTGTATGCTTTCTAGGGATTCTGTAGTTCGGTGATCCAAGTGAGGTCTCACAAGCGCAATATGTAGTTTTAGGATAACCTCGCTAGTCTTGTAACTAACACTCCTTTGTAAGAACCCAAGTACTTTGTTAGTCTTGTTCCGAGCAAATACACATTGTTGTCTTGGTTTATGATTCATACTTATCATTACCTCTGAATCTCTCTCTCACAGTCGGATTTCTCTTTTAACAGCGTTGTTCATCTGATATCTGTTTTCTCTGTTTACATCTCCTAGACTAAGTACTTTACATATGTCCACATTAAATTTCAAAAGCCATTTTGCAGACCATGCTAAAAGTTTGTTTAGATATTCCTGTAGTTTTTCGGAGTCTTCGTCAGATTTAATTACGCGTCCTATTTCAGTGTCGTCAACAAATTTACCTAATTGCTGTCTACGCCTATATCTATGTCGTTTATGTATATAATGAAGAGTAATGGTTACTTAATGCACAAAGGCAGAATATACCATGCAGAAAACTGAGATCACATAACAATGACCCCAAATGGATTCCCGGGCCGGTGGAAGTTGTTTGGACATACTTCCTAGCCCCCATTAGTCCCTGTTCACCTAGCAGTAAAGTAGGTATCAGGTGTAAATCGAAAGTTGCGAATTCGTATTCAGGGACAAGTTGTTGGAGCTTCCAATAACTTGATGACATAAACCACTGACTCTTCAGGCATCTACGCCCTTGACTCTTCAGGCTTCTACGCCCTTAACTCATGAGACATAAAGGCAAGCATGAACTTAGCATGCTTCCCTGTTGGGCGCTGTAAACGCTTCTGCGCTTCACCTTACACAAAGATGTAGGGGAGTGCCCAATAAATAATAATAAAAAAAAATAAGAATATTATTGGACGAAGGAAGGCTATAGGTAGGAGAATAAGTTGTGGTGAAGTTTACCTCCGAGATTATTATAAAGTATTGGCCAGTAGGTTTAAACCGAGATATGAAAAGCAAATAGGAATAATGAACTGTACGTAACAAGGGAGGCAAAGTCAAACCCCGAGGGATTCTTTCAAATGTATCAAACTAAAACACGATACAAGATTGAATCGTTATAATCAGATACCAGAGAATTAACTGATAACAACGGAGAAATGAACATTAATCTGAACAGATATTTTTCATCAGTTTTCACCACCGAAAATTTAAACATGATACCTCAAAGCACCGACTATATCTAAAGTAGAGGTAAACCACATCACAATCATTTCCGTCATCCACTGATTCGAAAACAGTTGGAAAGAATGGTGATAGATTTGTCAGACATGAACGCCCACGTGTGAAGCCATGTTGGGAATCATTGAATTCAATTTGTGCTTCTCGAGGTGATTTCGAATTGATTTTGAAATTATTGTTTCCAGTAATTTGCCTACAATTGATGTTAAGCTGATTGGTCAGCAGTTAGAGGATATAGATTTTTAAGAATGCAGATAAATCACTGTCACATTCGCTGTCTTGCAGGATTCTGGTACTACACTCGTTTTTAATTACATGTTAAAGAAGTTAGTTTGGGGCATACTAAGTTCTTCCTTACATTCCTTTAATACTCTGGCAAATATCTCGTTGGAACCTAGCGACTTATTAGGTTTTAGTTTATCTATTTATTTACTAACATAGTTACTGATCACTACCATCTTCGCTTAATCTGTTTCTTTACAATCTCTGTATATAGTCGGGGCCTCGGGTTTCATGTTTAAAGTTTCGGTGGTGAAAACTGTTAAAAAATATCCGTTCAGAATATTTCTCATTTCTCCGTCGTTATTAGTTACTTCGCCGTATCTGACTGTTTTGGTTCAATCTTGTCTCGTGTTTTAGTTTGAAATATTTGGAAGAATAACTTGGGTTTGACTTCGCTTCCCTTGCTACCTTTATTTCAATATATCTTGTTGCTTTTCTTATTTTGAGCTTAACCCTACTGGCCAATATTTTATAATAATCCCTTAGGTAAACGTCACCACATATTGATTCCAATTAATTATTCATCCATTTGGGGTGATTGTTATTTGATCTGAGTTTTCTGTGTAGTATATTTTGCCTTCATGCATTATGTAATTCATTATTGAAAATTTTTTGGTACTCGTCAACCTCATATCTCGTCATCAGGTCACTCCCGGTGGTCATGTTTTGTGAGGTTACCGATCAAATAGCCCCTGTCTTATAGACAGTAGTCCTTATATAAATATTGTTGTTATATAGTTCCATCACCCACAGTAATTTTCCATGAACTGTGAGGATCATGTGCCACACATGTGATCAGAAGATTCCACTCTCAAGTCGTGTCTCTTAGACAGGAGCTTAGCTAATTAGTAGCCGGTTCTAGCAGTTCATACTCAACCCTCACGAGGTAAGGACATCCGACATAAAAGCTTATTTTCAGTTAAGC